CTTGTGTGCTGGGACTCAGAAAACACTGGAAAACATCATACTCGGTGAAATAAGCCAGTCCCAAAAGGACAAATGCCATATGTTCTCCCTGACCTGCAATAACTAATAGAGCACCTAAAAGGCAATCTAAAAGAAGTGAAATTAACACTTTGAGAAGCAATGACTTTGAACAGCCCTTGTCTTGACTCAAGAACAGGTTTTTTTTTTTCCATACAATTTGTTGAACTCTTTACTTAGTATAGAGTTAATTGTATGTGTATAAAGTTAATTGAAAATAGATCTTAGTAAAAAGTAAGAGTGGGAATAGGACAGGGAGGAGGAAGAGGAGTATGAGTGTGGGTGGAAGGGTGGGCACAGTAGGAAGAATCACTATATTCCTAAAGTTGTACTTACGAAATGCATGAAGTCTGTATTCCTTAAATAAAAGGTTTCTTGGGGGGTGGGGGTTGGGGGAGAAAGAAAGGAAAAGGGCAAGATGATGTTGAAGAAGGAATCTGCAACAGTTTCTTTCCACATCAGTTTGCTTGTAAATTTATCTTGTTTGTGTCACAATTGAGGAGGACTGACAATTGACAACAGAAATAATAATCAGGTCTGGCATTGTGGAGTAGCAGGAAAAACCCCTGCCTGCAGTGCCGGCATCTCATATGAGCACCGATTCATGTCCCCGCTGTTCTATTTCAGATCTAGCTCCCTGCTATTGGCCTGGAAAAGCAAGGGAAATGGCCCAACCGCCTGGGTCCCTGCCACCGACATGGGAGACCTGGATGAAGATCCTGGCTCCTGGCTCTTGGCTCCAGGCTTCAGGCTCCAGGCTTCAACCTGGCTCAGCTTTGACTGTTGGGGCCATTTAGGGAGTGCTGACCCAGTCAATGGAAGATCTCACGCTTTGTATTTCGCTCCCTCTCTCTGTAACTCTTTCAAAATAAATAAATAAATCTTTAGGAAAGAAAAAAATAAATAACAGCCGATACCACAGACATCTGAACTGCTTCAACTTTACACAAATCTGACTTAAAAAGGCTAAACAAACTTTCTGCTTCGTGTTCTGCCTAGATGAGCTATAGACAAGAACAAAGCTTTCAACAGAAATTATAAACATAAAGTTTGGGTGGGAGCAAGATCCTGAAGTATTTCTTTTAAGAACTGTAAAAGGAGATGAAACATGGCTTTACCTGTATGATCCTAAGGATGATGTATAATCAATGCAATGGCTACCACCAGGTAGAAGCAATCCAATTAAAACAAAAGCAGACCAGACAAGAGCAAAGGTTAGGGTGATAGTTTTTTTGAGGAGATGCTCACAGCGTTTTGTTTGTTGACTTCTGGAAGGGCCAAAGAAGGATCCGGTCTGCTTATCCAGGGAGTGTTTTGAGGAAGTTGGACAAACTTTTAGCAGAAAAGCTTCACAAAAGAGGCCTTACCACTAATTCCTGTCATCCAAATAAGGGTAATTCTGTGATAGTTTGAAGAGATACCATCAGGTATGCACCTTAAAGTTCTGATTTGGCTCCTTCTTTTAAAAACAAAGATTTGTTTATTTTACTTGAATGGCAGAGTTACAGAAGAGAGAGAGAGAGAGATCTTCTGTCTGCTGGTTTACTCCCCAATGGCCACAAGAGCCGGGGCTGAGCCAGTCCAAAGCTGGAAACTTCTTTCAGGTCTCCCACGTGGGTACAGGGTCCAAGCACATGGGCCGTATTCCCGCTGCTTTTCCCAGGCACATTAGCTGGGAGCTGGATCAGAAGTGGAGCAGCCAGGACTCAAATTGGTACCCATATGGGAGACTTGCATACCACAATGCCAGCCCTTGAATTGGCTCCTTCTGACTTATGTTTCCTAACCTTAAAAAAAAAATCTTTTAAGGTATCCATTTTTTTAATTAAATATGCAAAAAAGACAACATCAACATGATTAAATTCCCAGGACTCTCAGATATTTAGGGAAAGACTAAATGCCTGGTATCACTGCTTATAAATAAAGTGTTTTGAACTTGATGCACTGTTGGAACAGTACATATTTTTAACAGGCAACTTTTTAATCTTACAGTTTACAAAACCAACACAGCTTGGAAAGCCCAAATAACGATGCTTATATAGACAATGGTAACCATTCAGACATATACATGGGAAAGATGTCCCAAACAAATATAAAGCACAAAAAAAGACAAACACTTGTAATGTTTGGTTGCATTCATGAAAAATTATGTAACAACACATGTGCCTATATATTTGACCAGAAATCTCATTTTCAATGAGATAAGAGGTACCATAACTAATCAGAATCTTTGATACATAGGGCCGATCTTGGGAAAGTTGGGGACATAGGAGGGGAGATTGACAGAGCGGCGAGGGAGCAGTGAGAGAGAAAGAGAAAGGTCTTCCTTCCGTTGGTTCACTCCCCAAATGGCCGCCACTCCCGGCACTGTGTCAATCTGAAGCCAGAAGCCAGGTGCTTCCTCCTGGTCTCCCACGTGGATTCAGGCACCCAAGCACTTGGGCCATCCTCCACTGCCCTCCCAGGCCACAGCAGAGAGCTGGACTGGAAGAGGAGCAACCGGGACTAGAACCTGGAGCCCACATGGGACGCCGGCGCCGCAGACAGAGGATTAACCAAGTGAGCTACGGCGCTGCCCCCCGCCCCCCACATCTTTCTAACAATTCTGATACAAGTCTCTGTTTAAGAATCTATGCTCTTTGCCAGCGCCGTGGCTCACTAGGCTAATCCTCCACCTGTGGCAGCGGCACCCCTGGTCAGGGCGCTAGATTCTGTCCCGGTTGCCCCTCTTCCAGGCTTCTTCTGCTGTGGCCCGGGAGGGCAGTGGAGGATGGCCCAAGTGCTTGGGCCCTGCACCCGCATGGGAGACCAGAAAAAAGCAGCTGGCTCCTGGCTTAAAGGCAGAACCTTTGCCATAGAGAGCATATTGAGTGTGAACCAATGGAAAAAAAAAAAACAAGGAAGACCTTTCTCTCTCTCTCTCTCACTGTCTAATTCTGCCTGTCCAAAAAAAAAAAAAAAAAGATTCTATGTTCTTAGTTGCTATCATTAATATGCATGTGTTATATTCCATAGGAACAGATGTATGATTGAGCACCCTAGCACAGAGAAGTCTAGAATGATGGTCATCCACATGGTTACAGAGACTTCTCTAAAATTCAGAGTTCAGATGATTTTTACTAATTTTCTGGTAATGTTCTGCATTATTTTTATTTAAATAAACTAATACTTTCAGGATTAGGGGAAGGAAACGCTATTCACATGAGAGAAAATAAAATATTTTTAATTAAGTGATTTTGTGATTAATAAATACATATTTTCTGAGACCAGTACTCTGGTACAGTAGAGTTAAGCTGCCACTTGGCAACAATAGCATCCCACATCTGAGTGCTGGTTCAAGTCGTGGCTACTCTGCTTCTGATCCAGGTCCCTGCTAATACACCTGGGAAGGCAGTAAAAATGGCCTAAGTACCTGGGCTCCTACCATCCATTTGGGAGACCAGGATGGAACTCTGAACTCCTGGCTTTGGGCTGCCACAGCTCTATTGTTGTGACCATTTGGGGACTGAATCAGCAAATGAAGATACGGATTTCTCACCTGCCCTCCATCTCTTCCTCCCACTCCCCATCTCTTTCACTCAGCCTTTCAAATAAGTAAAATATATCTTAAAAAAAAAAAAAAAACACATACTTTCTGGGATGGGAGTCTTCTTAACAGCTTTACAAATGCAACTGTAAAAGCACTGGTTGTGGGGCCAGTGCTGTGCTTCGTAGGTAAAGCAGTCACCTGCAATGCCGGCATCCCATATGGACTGCTCCACTTCCCAACCAGCTGCCTGCTAATGTACCTGCGAAAGTAGCAGAAGATGGCCCAAGCACAAGGGCCCCTGGACCCATGTGGGAAACCTGGAAGAAGTTCCTGGCTCCTAACTTCAGATCGCTCAGCTCCAGCCATTGCAGCCATTTGGGGAATGAACCAGTAAATATAAGATTCATATTCTTTCTCTCTCTCTCTGCCTTTCAAATAAATAAATGAATCTTTAAAAAAAAAAAAAAAAAAGTACTTGTTAAGATCGAAGTCAGCAAACTCAAGAGGCTTCCATAGCCTTGGAAACTCATGACTAGAGCCTAGGGAGATTTCTGACGCCATAAACAAGAGTGTCAATTTGTTAAGTCAACAACAAGAGTCACTGTGTACTTACTCCTTATGTGGGATCTCTGTACTTAATGTGTTGTCCAATGTGAATTAATGCTATAACTAGTACTCAAACAGTTTTTTACACTTTATGTTCTGAGTGGGTGCAAACTGATGAAATCTTTACTTAATATATAATAAATCGATCTTCTGTATATAAAGAGAATTGAAAATGAATCTTGATGTGAATGGAATGGGAGAGGGAGCGGGAGATGGGAGGGGTGCAGGTGGTAGGGAAGTTATAGGGGGGAAAAAGCCATTGTAATCCATAAACTATACTTTGGAAAATTATATTTACTAAATAAAAGTTAAAAAAAATACTTGTTGCTTTCAAAGGCATGATTATCTCTTAAAATAAAGATTATCAGTCCTTATCACTAAAAGCCATGGAAAATGTGGTACGTAGTATTATATATTTCAAATGACAAGTAAAATAAAAAATCAGTCTTTTTCAACAAAAATGTTTCTAGCCACAAAGAAAACAAATCAAGATTTAATGTTGCCCCCTTATTCTCATACCAAGTAATAAAGTTCAATACAGATTTCATTTTACTCAATTTAACAACTTTCTCCACTAAAGAAAACAGGTTCAAATTCTATTTAGGTTCAAAGATTAAATTAGCAGCTTTCTCTTTAAAAAAGAACAAATTCAATGAAAGTGCAGTTAAGAAGTAAATGAAATTTACATTCAAATAAAAACTAGATTTTGACTGTAAATTGCTTTTAAAATACGATTTACGAGGAAAAGATCATAATTTTTAATTGTTTGAATATATATGTATGCATAGATAAAATAAATATGACTTACCCCATCCAAAAGAGTGTTTGATAAATGCATACGAAGATCTTTACGAAATGGAAATTCCAGATTTGAAACATGAAACACTGAATTGTCTCTATCAATCATAAAAACTTCATTTGTGCCATCAATCAACATCATATAACTGTAAGTTAAACATTAAAAAGGCAAGATTAACAGCATAATATCAAGAATAAGGGGAGTGGACATTTAGCCTAGTGGTTAAGATGCCAACATTCTGTATTAGAGTGCCTGGGTTCAATTCCCACCTCTAGTTTCTAGCTCCACCTTCTCTCCAATGCAATACCAGGAAGCAACAGTGATGGCTCAAGTAATTAGATTCTTGCTACTCACATGGGCAACATGGATTGAGATCCTGGCTCCAGGCTCCAGGCGCCAGGCGCCAGTCCTGGTCTAGTCCCAGTTAGTACAGGCATTTGGAGAGTGAACCAGCAAATGGGAGCTCACTCTTATCTGTATCTCTATCTCTGTAGCCTGGTAGTCCTCTTTTCCTCTCCTTCTCCCTTCCCTGTCTCTCAAATAAAATAATTATTTTTTAAAATACTATGGTTGTAGGAAATAAAAATAAACTGGTTTTTCTTACACTTATATCTTTATGGACTTATGTTCACTAGAGTCCCTCTATCAGGTAGATTTAAATATCACAAAAAGAGGCAGGCATTTGGCTAACAGCCAAATGGGACACCTGCATCCCATATCAGAGTACTTGGGTTAGAGTCCCAGCTCCACTCCCAATTCCAGCTTCCTGCTAATGCGTACCCTGGGAGACAAGCAGGTGATGGCTCAGTTGGGTCCCCGCCATCTATATGGAAGACCCAGTTTGAGTTCCTAGCTCCAGTTTAGCCCACAGTACAGAGCCACATCTGGTAGAGTCACCAGGGGCATATGAGGAGTGAACTTACAGACAGGAGGAGCTCACTCATACATTCTCTCTCTTTCTCTGCCTCTCAAATAAACAAATATTTTTACGAAAATGCCATAATTTTAATCTCTTCATTTCCTATAATAAACAAAGTATAAAGAAATGTTTTCATGAAGATAATATGTACCCAATAACCTTATGACTCATCTTAAGAAAAATATTTTTATTAAACATCTAAATGTTTTAATGTCTATAAAACACACATACACATAGATACAACTGCTAGTTATTGACTTAACAACTATATGAATTGACTACTACTTTCTCCACTTCAGAAGAGAAAAACCAGTGAGTGACTTGAACCTCAAACTATGCAATGCTCTTCCTACCACACCAGTTAGCAAAACTCTGAATCCCTTTCTTTGAATCAATATCATACATAGCCAGAATACCACAATCTCAGATATAATTTTTCTTCTCATTCATGTTTAAACAATTAAGATATTTTCAAATATATTCCACAGGAACTTTTATTAGCCCTGATTTTCTTAAACCCAACCAATATATAATAGAATTTACTTAATTTGTCGATCTTCCAATGGTCAAGTTACCATCTCTGATTCCCCATAAGCAGATTACCAACAATGGGATTCAATTTCACCCCATATATAAAAGTCAAGTTCAGGTGGATCCAAGTTGAGAAAATTACAAACTGAGTGGCTATGCTATCCAATGAATAATATGTCTTGGGGTGATAGGAGAGACCATATCACAGTACCAAAGTCTTCAAAGAATGAGAAAAATTGACAGCAAAAAGAAGGATTGGAATGCTAAAAAGTATGAGCCTCAAATCAACAATCATTTTGTTAAAATGTTTTTCATTGGTGTTAAATGTGGAAAGAACGGAATAATCAGACTGTCCCAGAGAAAATAGAGAGTGCTGATGAGAGGCACTGTCCAAACTCTTATCTGCAGGATTTATATGGTACATCAGGAAAAAACAGCAGTCAGGGAAAGATGGACCTCAATCAGATTAAAATCATGGAACAGAAAAAAACATGAAATGAAGAAATGTGAGCCAGTACCGTATATGGAGACAAACATAATAATGGACAATTGGTTTACTATAAACAAGTGTTATAAAAAGCAAAATATGTATGTTTAGGATAGGTTAGAAGAGGCAGGAGAGCTGATTAAGGTTGAAAATTAACAAAAAATGTGTGCAAACAAACAAGGGAAAGAGCAGCAAGGAAGACCAAAGACCATTTGGGGACTAGATGGCAAAGCAGGCTGTAACCAGCTGTTTCCAAAATAATTATTTCCAGCACGTCTCTGAGAAGGGGATAGAGAGCTCAGGACCTGAACACATACTGGTACAGGCGCATGTGGCTGGCGCCATGGCGCAGTAGGTTAATTCTCTGCCTGTGGTGCCAGCATCCCATATGGGTGCCAGCATCCTATATGGGCACAAGCATCCCATATGGGCACCAGTTCTAGTCCCGGCTGCTCCTCTTCCAATTCAGCTGTCTACTATGCCCTGGGAAAGCAGTGGAAGATGGCCCAAGTGCTTGGGCCCCTGCACCTGCATAGGAGACTGGGAAGAAGCACCTGGCTCCTAGCTTCCGATTGGCACAGCTCTGGCTGTTGCAGCCATCTGGGGAGTGAACCAACAGAAGGAAGACCTTTCTCTCTGTCTCTCCCTCTCACTGTCTATAACTCTATCTCTCAAATAAATAAATAAAATTTTAAAAAAGAAAAAAACAGAAAAGAAAGGAAAAGAAGAAAGAAAGAAAAGAAGAAAAAGAGAGACAGACAGACAGACAGACAGAAAGAAAGACAGAGAGAGAAAGAGGGAGGGAGGGAGGGAGGGAAGGAAGGGGTGCAGCCCTGGTAGACTCAGAGTATGGAGACCAAAGTCCTACTAGGAAAACTCAGATCAGCCTCAGTCTGGACTGATTAAGCATCAAGAGACTCCTGGACCAAACGCCAGGCCAGCAGACTCAGTGGCAACAGGAGTACTGAGTTCCAAAGGCCTCTTGCATATGCTTTCCAAAGCAGTCACTCCTGTCAGGTAGAGAAAAATGTAGGTTTCTTGAAAGAAGCAAACATTGCCCTGACTTCTGTTTCAACAGGAATTTAAATCAACATGAGGAAAGGTCAAATAAAAAGCAATTATAACATTGTCTACAAAAATGGTACTGAAGACACACCATCCATAACGTTGTTACAGGAGCTAAGCCAGCATTTTGTGAAGCTCAATATTCACTAAAAAGGTTCATGGCAAAATAAGTTAGGAAAATGCTGTATCTTTCTTCTCAGGAAGATACGTATCAGGATACGTAAAGTCACGAGAAAATATACTAAAAGTCCATTTATCTTGTTTTTAGCCCATTGTTTCCTAAACTTAATCTTGATATCTGTCAATATTTGACAAGATTAGTGCTCAATATTCACAATTCAGGAAAAGCTGGCTTATGCTAATAAATTCAGAAAAAAGAAATGGTTTGCCTCTTCCAAACCAATGATGATGACAGAAATTATATTTCTCTTCACTAGCTGCCCCAAAGCTCAGAATTAAATTTAAGGTTCAAACAGAATGAATATTATATCTTAGGGCACTGGTACACTCATTTGAGACACGCACACATATACACAATGAGAATTTCTTTTAATTCAAGTAGACTATCAATTAAAAGAAAATACTATCTCGTGCACATGTGTATAAACAGATTTGAAAGACCAAGGAGGAAAATAGTATATGTTAGGATTTACTAGAAAAGATTGTTTTTAGGATACAGTTTCCATCTACAGAGATGCCAGAAAAATTATTTAGTGGTTCATATTTAGGGATTCTTCTGCACATACAAATTTTCAGGCTTTGGAACACAAATTTCTGGGCTATAAATTTTGACTTGAACTCTAGTCATTCTAAATCACATGTTCTTATGTAATGCTTACAAAAAGTAATGTTATTTAAAGAAAGAATGGTAAGAAATGTGAAAATATTTATGTATCACTCCTAAATCTCTGAATTCAGGCAGACACTTTAACAAAAAGACAACCATTTGGGGTTAGCACTGCCTGCAGCACCACCATCCCAGAAGGGCACTGGTTTAAGTCCCAGCTGCTCTACTTCTGATCCAGCTCCCTGCTAATTCACCTGGGAAAGCAGCAAAGGATGGCCCAAGTGCTTGCTGCACCCACATGGAAGACCCAGAAGAAGCTCCTGGCTCCTGGCTTCAGCCTTGGTCCAGCCCTGGCCATCTGGGGAGTGAATTATCAGATAGAAGACATGTCTGTCTATCTGTGTGTCTGTCTATGAGTTTCAGTTCTACTCCTGGCTGCTCCACTTCTGATTCAGCTTCCTGCTAACAAACCTGGAAAGCAACAAATGATGGCCCCCTGCCACCCATGTGAAAGTCCTGGATGAAGCTCCTGACTCCTGGCTTTGCTCTGGCCCAGTAGTTGCAGCCATCTGGGGAATGAACCAGCAGATATTTGTTTCTCTCTCTCACTCTCTCTCCCCTTCTCCTTCTCCTTCTCCTTCTCCCTCTCCCTCTCCCTCCCTTTCTGTAACTCTTTCAAAATAAATCTTTAAAAATTATTTATTCAATTAATTTGTTTGGCTGTTCATTAAAGGGTTCCAGACACACTGCCAGTATCAGAGATATAACAGTGAACAACACAGACCCTCTTCTGAACCTTATATACTTTAATTTACATCCTTAACAAGAAATGAGGCATTAAACAAATAATCACAAGCATAGTAAGTATTGAAAAGGTGAAGTACAAGCTGCTGCAGGAGCACACAAAAAGTAGAACTTGTCACAGTTTGGAGGTCAGGGAAGGTGATCCAGAGAAATACACATTCAGCTAATAATGAGAGTTTACACATAACTGAGCAATTACTACATGCAGGGCCGTATTCAAAGCACTTGACATTTATAAATTCATTTAATACTCACAGACTTAGCAGATAGGTAAAATTATCACCTCCATTCCCCAGATGAGGAAACTGAGACACACATAAATAACCTGCTTAAGGCCGTAAAGATGGCAAAACAGTAAAGCTCATTTTAAAGCCTAGACAATATATCAGTGTAAAGCATTCTAAAAAAGGGTTTTAATGTAGCATTTTAATTCTTTTTTTGTACCCATGCTGTTGAATGGTAAATGTAATAGAATGATCATGATGCTGAATAAATACGATTCTTAAAAAATTAGCTTAACTCTAAAGCCCCTACAGTATACTGCTTCAGACC